TTTTTTTTTAAATTTCGTGTTGGGTTTTATGTGTATTTAAGCAGCTGAAAGGAGGGGGGGATGGGACGACACGTGCGGAACATGTCGCTTGTGTTTTGCCGAAGTTCAGCTCTGATATCGTGCAAAAGGTATTTCCACATTATTGCTAGAGTTCCGGATCATTTTGTCTGCATAAAACTCAGGGCATGGAAATTACTAAAGCTTTTGGACCGTAAAGATCACTAAACAATTGATTTTTTTTTCCTTTTTAGGCCTTTAAATTATTGTTGGTAAAACGGAATGCAAAACGCTTTTAAGTGTCTGAACCATTTTTTTTTTGCCTGTTCTGTTTGTAACGACGCTGATCTGTCGACTGTATTCATGATGCTGTTTCAATTCTAGTAAATCTGTACTTTTGAAGGTGATTTGTGGAAATTGGGCTATATTTTGTCCTGAATTCAGTCTAAATGTATTGCAAGCCTTTGTTTTTTGGCCTGTTTATAAATAAACTTTTTTACTTAATGTTTTGTGTTTTTAATGTTTTAGCTGGTAATCGGTTAGGGTTGGATTTTTTTGGGGGGGTAGGAGTGCGTTGTGGCGTTACTCAAATCTTCATGGAATCAATACCAACTTGGGAGCAAGTTAAGTTCAGTTGTATGCCGATTAGTTAAAAAAAACAACACAAGGTGTTAAGGGTTGAACCTTCTCCAGATATAAGGTTCCAATGCATTTGGAGGCACCCCCAACTGCAAACTTCAATAAAGGTAGTAGTGCAGGTGGGTAGCTGCGTCAGCATGCATAGGTGACACCTGAAGAAGGCTCCACGGCCGAAACGTTGTGTTCTCTTCTTTTTTTCAGTATGGAATAAACCTATTACTTGTACCTTCAATAAAGGTAGCCTTCCAGGCTATAACAAAGCACATACTTTAGTATTCAGTAAGGAACTTTTTTTTTTTAATAGCTCAGACATGAAATCCAACCGAAACCAGTCTAATCTGAAAGACTGGTGTGAGAATTTCAGTTTTCAATCGGCAAAATCCCTCATTTGGGGTATTGTATATTCACATCCATTCACATTTCATTACTAAAGATGGGATTGGTGTCTTATATTTAAGAGTGATAAAACTAATCACCAATAAAGAATAGAAGGGACTAATAAATTCAATTACCTAGTCTAAAGAAGTTTTCCCTCATTGCTTAAGTTTTTGCCTGAACGTTTTTAAATGCTCACTATGCGATTAAAAAAAATGCATGGGCATAAGAGATTTGACTTCAGACTTTGCATTTCCACTAAAAACTCTTTGAAGATGGCCTTTATTTCAGGATTAACTTCACTGACCATGCTGATCTTGCATGAAGCTCGCAAGCTGCAGGGGTGAGCTGTGTGAGGGCTCTACGGAAACTTCCATATGGCCCGATTCAATTCAAAATTCAATTTTCAGGTCAAATCCTTCCAAGGGTTTTTAATGTGAAAACGCTTGTCCAGAAATGTGGCTGAATGTAAGTAAACTAACTTGATATAGTGCTTTTAAAGGTGG